GGGATGTAAGAGCCCTCGCGTGGGGGAGCCCGCTGGAGGGGTTGGGGCAACACATGAGCGGTCCCGGGAGCAGTTCCTAACAACTGATTTTTTTTATTTTTTTTATTTTTTTTTTTTTAATTCATTGGTGCAATTTCAATACAAACTCTAACCCTTACGTAGCTTTTTTTTTTTCTTTAAGAAAACAGTAATAGTACTGTTTAAAAACCTGCATAGAAATAAAGACTATTGAGATACAGTCAGCAAAGCCATCGTATAAGGCACACAAGAAAATAGACAGTAAATGTGAATGCAGAACTCCCACTCGGACGTGCAGCAAAGTTCATGGACGTGCATAAATAACAACGGTCACATCACTGGTCAGAGCAGTCAAAGGTTCTCTGGAGGGGTAGGTGAGTTCAGTCACTTCAGAAAGGGGGGTAACGCTTTCCTCTGCGCTTCCGTACACGGGGCGCTACTGAAAGGGAGGGGCGTGGCCAAAGGTGAGCGGCCAAAACGAATTGAAGAATTGAAACCTGTAAGCTTTTTAAGGTTGCCATGACAACAAGAGATGGGTGTTCGGAAGCTGCCTGTACTGACTTTGTTCTGCAATCCCACAGTAAAGCAAGCAGGCGAGGCGGCAGCTCTCCCTGCTGCATTCCCATTTCTCACGCTGCTTAGGTACAGTAGCCAGTGACTTTTTTAATTTAAAAAAAAAAAAAAAAAAGCCCAAGCAAAAATTTAATGAACATCTGGGATATCCTCAGAGGCCTTTGGATGACTACAACCTCATGGCAGTTTCTTCCCCAGAGCTAGAACTACCAGCAGTAAGATTCACCTGGACCTCCCCGATTTGGCTGCCAGGGCAAAATCAGCCCTCGCCTGCCAGAAGGGGAGGCCCAGGGGGGGCCGCAGCAGGCAGGGACCCTGCTGGCTGCAGGCCAGCCCCCCCCCCCCCGGCTGCCGAAAAAACCTGGCTTTTGCCTGCTCCAGGGGGTTGGTCTGAGCCAGGCCTAGAGGTTACCAGGAGAGAGGACACTGCCCCCGCCACGACACAGCCAGGCCATGCCAGTAAGATCAAGCGACCCCACCGAGGTACAACCCAAAAATCTCTGAGGCAGCTGCCGGGAACACAGGGGGCCTCCACCCTCCTCGCTCCATTTCATGGAAGCGGCAAAGAGGAACAGCAAATTCCTTTCTGAGTGAGGCCGAGGCTTCCTCCCAAACCACTCACCACCTCTAAAAACCTTTCCTGCTCATCTGATATGCGTTACTTCCCTATCAGGAGAAATTAGGTCAAGTTCTTCCACTGTGGGTTTTTTTCCCCTCCTCAGAAGAGGCAGTTTTAAAACGATGCCTTAAAATGTGTTGTAACAGGTTTTTTTTTTTTATATTTATGCAGGATGAACTTAACACCGGATTTTTTTTTTTTGCCACTTTGCTATTTATATACATATATATAAAATGTATAATGAAGCTTAACCATACAGCACAGAGATTACAATTTAACAGCACACATTCACCACCAGTGAGGGGGACAACCCCTTTATACACCCTCTGAAAAATCTGGATAATAATATTAATAATAATTAAAATCCAAAGAAAGTACAGTATATTTAACAAAATAGTAAATATTAAACAGTGAATACTCTACTTAATAAGGACCTCGCCTTTTTTCAAGTTGGCGTCAATCCACAAAAATATACTTTTTAATCTGGTGAACGTACAATACATCGGTACTTACACCAAGGTGATAATATATTTAGGATGCTATATACACAGAGTTTGGCTCAAATTTAAATTTACATATAAGTGTTCATGGCTTATTTTTCCCCCAAGGTTCCGCCTGCAAGTTTTTCCTTTTCATCTTTGAAAGCAAAAACTAGAAAGTCAAAATAAGATAAAACTGTACTCTACAAAAAAGCTACAACATACAGCTTTGGCTTATATAAATAATTCATAGCAGAATGTGTTCAAAAGTACTGTATATAACTTTATATATAGTCTTCAATTCATTAGGGTATTGTCTTTAATATAAAATATACATGAGCTAAAATCCGTTTCTATAGTTTTCAAAGGTACGAACGTAAAAACAAATTTGTCAAACATATTCCAATTATAACTTAATATATTAATTTTATTTTGTTAATGTTCTATTTTCTAGGCTAATATTTTCTGAATATTTCATGCGAGTTCTCTATGTCTCTCTCACTCGTTAAAAAAATCACTTCTTTGACCCAATACGCTATTCTTTTTTTTTTTTTTTTTGCACGTGCAAAACAGGGTTTTTGTTTTTGTTTTTTTTTTTTATTTTATTTTATTTTATTTTCTTATAGCATCAGCCCTTCTCCATGCACCCTCTGCAATAGAGACCCATGCCAGGTTGGGTAATATAAAGGTCGTTTTATGTACAGTATTGCTTTCTTCTTCCTGCCCTTCTACTGCTCTGCTGCTACAAAGCATTATTTCTTAACTACGAGTAACCATACAGCTTGAATAAAACACACAGGGACGTTACTACAGGCGAGCCCTCTTGGTTTCTGCAATCTAGTGTGGTAGGATTATACTGCGGGTACAACGCTTCTCTGCAAAACAGGTTATATTATTAAAACACCAAGTCCAGGTAAGTGCCAGGCTAGATCGATACCTACGGGATTGTTCTGTTACAATTTACCATGGGACATCTGCAGCTATACAAGGAGTTTGTCGTAAGTGCCTGATGATTCTGTGTATGCTACACACACTAGCACATATATATGCATGTGAAGATATATATATGCACGTATGTATATACATATAAATATACTTATTTCATGTCCTTATTTATAAATTTAGATATGTCAGGACAGTTCATTTTGAGAACACAAAACTGAAGAGGCAACACTGCAAGTTTATGTCACCCACGTGTCCATCCGCATCCGTTTTACCGATGGGCTCTCTCGATCTTCCGAGTTGGGCGGCCTCCCCAGCACAACAGGCGAATGGAAATCGCTTCTCGGGTCTTCCCGATCGCTGCCGTCGTAGGAGCTGCTGGAGCTGCTGAGACTGTCGACAGGAGAGCGACCCATCTCCTGCCGCGACGGCGGCTGCGGCGGTGGTGGCGGCTGCTGCTGCTGCGGCGGCGCTTGTGGCTGCTGTTGCGGGAACCCAGAGGGAGTTACACGGTCCCGGGGAGGTGAAATTGGTTCAGATTTTATGTTGATGTTTTGGTTGGTGTTAATGGATAAATTTGAACCCTGAGATAGCTGGCTGCCAGTACTGGGAAAAAGAAAACCAAAAGGGAGAAATAAGTGAAAAAGGAAAAGGAAGTGACAATTCATGCGTCTGCGCAATGGCGTGGGCTTGTGGCTCACCGCCCTCCAAACGAGCACGTGAACAAACGCAACTTGCTGAGGTGAAGAAACAAAGTTGGAAAAAGCATTAATTAAAGGTCTGAATGCATTTGTAGAAGTTAGGAAGAAACAGAAATCTCTCCAAAAGTTTAAGTTCACCATGCAGGTGACTCCTCTGCAAGAGGCTGGGCCTGCAGGGGCGCAGCTTGGCAGCTCTAGCGCTGAACTAACCGAGAAAAGCGAGGAACGACTTTAAACGTGAACGCCTTTGCAGCAAACCTGAAAGGCAACGCACCATCACCAGCGACAAGAAATTAAAATGGCCTTGTGCTAAATATTCCCCAGTGCAGCTCATTCAGCCTGAAGCAGCAGGAGCTCCCGGCGGGGCGCAGGAGGGCGGCGTTAGCGGGGGTACTTACACGAGGGAGCTGAGGGCTGCTGGGCCCAGATGGTGCTGCTGCCAGGCAGACACCTGCCCCAAGGACAGCATCCCCGGGGAGTTAAAGCCCTGCAAGGCAGACAGGTCTGCACTAGTCAAGGAGTAATCTAAGGGGGGAAAAAACAAATAAGAAATACAGATTTATTTTATTTATATACACATATATAAAAATACAAGAATGTGAGAGACACACGCACACAAATATAAAGGCTTTCTGCCCAAAACAAAGGCAAGTGACCCAAAGGCATCCAAACAGGAAAACTTCCAAGTCTGGGAGCAGCCCTCCTATCTTCACTAGGAGCTAACAGGACGCAAGCCTCCAAATAATTTTTTTGCATTCTGCTTTCAATTCCTACATGCTGCTGCCTCATACAGCTTCTTCTAAACCCACAGGTACAACATATTTAGGCTTTTTTATATATATATATATGTATGTATATTTAATATATACACACAGGTCCATCTTACAGTAAGACAAGTAGCTGCATTTTTCAACATTCTAGTCTGCATGGAAATGAAACAAAAAAATGGAAGAACTAATAGAAGTCACCAGAAAGGAATGGTGGTTCTTGTGTGGGACTTACTAAGGAGATCCCGACTCTGGTTCGGCTCCCAGGTGGGAGGCAGCAGTTGGTCGGATGAGGCGCAGACGCCGCTCGGCTGGCTCACCTTATGAAGCAGTTCCCAGCCCTACAACCTACATCCAGACCCAGCCAGGGGCTGGGGGGCCGGCTCGCAGGGGAGGGCAACAGGCTC